CTAAATAAGAAAGATAATATTCTCACCTTACTGTCTGCATCACTGGAGGCAAGAGACTGTATCTGAGTGGTGATGGCCGCCACAGCCTTGTTAACCCTGGTGATGAGAGCCTCCCCCTCCATGGTTCCTGACCCTTGTGTGCCCTCCTGGGTGTTCCCTTCGTGGCGCTGCTGCCGGAATATGGAGGAGAACTGCTTCAATGAAGTGTTAGTCCATAACCTTTTGTGTTCAACACACTGGCACCAACATGTGAGCCAAGGTAAAATTCTCTCTGCCATACTTGACATTAACACTATGTTATGGTGGTAACAGATAAATAAGATGTTTATAAAGTAAAAACTGTTGAGTGTGACATTTTGCAACCTACACCAGGTGCTGCCACCCTGTGCTCTCCTCCACACCATCACACTTTAAGAAAAACCAAGGCCCAAACTTACCTTGTGCCAAGATATTATTTCATCTCTCATTATGGCTCGAAGGAGGGCGTTAACCTTGAAGGCAGCGTGGCCAGGCGAGCAGTGGCCACCATGGACCATGATGAAGGGCCCAGATACTCCTATAGTTGTTACAAGCTCAGCCAGGTTTGGTGTCAGTCTGAATGGTACTGGACGGTTACCATCCAGCTCACCTGAAAATGTTGATGGTGAAGTTTGATGAAAACTATACTGTACTGTACTGTATATATTAACAACATCAAATACATTAAGTTATAATTTTCCTGTCAGTGTACACAAGTTATACATACATGACAGTGACCTCTACCTAAGTTATACATACATGACAGTGACCTCTACACACAAGATATACATACATGACAGTGACCTCTACACACAAGTTATACATAACAGGTTACTTGAGACTGCACTCTGTATCCACTCACCAGCAGCAACCTTCACCTGTACTAAAAGAGAAGGACATACAACTTGACTATCAAACAATTGTTACACAAACCTTTAGCATCATCAATGTTGAACTTAAAATATGCAACATTGATGAGTCCTGAGTCCTGATGAACATACATCATGTCTGGATAGAGTTTGGTCAGGTGCAACAGGTACTCCATCAAACCAATGAGGGCAAGTTGTACAGTCAGCTGTAACACAAGACATAAATACAGTACTGTGGCTCCCATACTATTCCAAACCGACATCTTTCTTACCAAAAATGAAAAAGTTTAGCCAAAATCCAAAAAAATTATTCATATCATTAATAAATCCACAAAAAATTCTGAGTAGTGATGATCTTCAATAGTAAATATATCAGACAATTTTACTGAACAGTTCAGAGAAACTCGTGTGCCTTTGTTTTTACTGACATCCATCATAAAGCAGGAAAAATAATCCCTACATGGTTTAAACAGTCCTATGATACACTACTGTACTGTACTCTACTTGAGGTGGCAAATGTCTTTATCATCATGAAGAAAAAAAACCTTCTTTTACTGAGATACACTTCCACACTGGTACTATTACTACCAGTGATACTGTGAACTACTACAGGTACTGATAATACTACTTCTTCTACTCTGTATTACTACTATTGATACTTCTACTGTTATTATTACCTTTTTAACTGGCCTCCAGCCTCTCCTTATAACTGCATCTTCACCACCATTCTCTTATCATAATACAAAGGTATCTAACCCAGCTGAGTTAGTTAAGCCCAGATTTATGCCGTATTCTGTGACTATTGCTTCACAGTCAATGTCTGTGACTTGTTGCCTTACTGAGACACAGTAGAGTAGACCTGAGTAAGGAGAAGGATAGGACACATCTCAACGAGGCCGTGTCATAGCTTCTGGGATGCTGCTTCTATTCTAATATCATAATATCACTTCAGCCAGTCTGGCATAGAAGCACCTTGCATTAGATCCCATCCCAGCTGATGTTGTGAACACAGAGGAGTGAAGTTGCCTCAGTCTATGTTTTGGATTCTCTTTGCATACACTGTTCTTGTTGTTCTCATTCTTCCTGTGTGCAGCCTCGAGACAGGTCACGGTGACATGCCACCATGGGATCAAAGATCCTGATGTCATAGAAGGCTCGCTGTCCCCACGTCCCAAATCCGCAAGCACTGACGTCCACAGGGGCTTGGTTGGCAGTCATGTGGAGGAAGCGCTCACTTCTCCAATGGGAGGAAGGTTGGTCCCACAGTGACATTGTGGTATATTTCCTTCAGCATATTCGCTGTGAGGCCCATTACTTCATCGTGCCTCACACATACAAAAGTTCTCTTATTACCCACCACAGCATGGCTGATGTCGTAGGATGTTCCACACGCGCACTGGCCCACCATACCTTGCAGCAGTGGCATCTGTTAATTCTTGCTTGTTGAAGTTGAAGCTCTTTGCTTTCATCAGTAGATTTGTTAGCCAGTTTGAGACGCCCATCTCTTGCACTACAGCTACGGTCTCTGACAGTTGTTGAAGTTATTCACTTAGGGTCGTGAAGGAACGTCAAATTTTGTGTAGTTCGTTAGTGTCTACCTCACTTGTTGCATTTTGAGCGACTATGTGCTCAGTGAGGGCTGCTGTGAGCTGATGTACAGTGGCAACAAGCTACTCCAGGTTAGTCATTCCCATTCCTGCCTGTCTTAGTTAGTGCAAGGAGTGACCTTTCAACTGGGGTAATGTGTTGGCTTTTTACCTTTTTTTTTTCGGGGAACAGCCCATCTGGGCACAGATCATCGACCCTAGCAACGGGGTCTAGGGGGCGAAAAAATAAGAATAGAAAGAAATTAAAAATAGAAAAGAAAAAGGTTATATTAATCTACACCACGAAGATGCAACCCTGATGGCTTCTTCTAGAGGATGGAGGGGTCCGATACAATGTACGTACAAGACCAAAAGTCACTAATTACTGAACCCATCTGGGACAAAGTTGGGATTAAGTACAGTACCTACCAAGTTGGGTTAAGATATATCACAGCCTAGCCACAAGGATGGTGGGTACACTCTGTCATGTCCCTCACCAGGAGGAGTGTTGGGACTTTGGGCGGATGTTTCCTCACCGTCGGTCTCCTGAACACTGACATACTTATAAAATTTTGATAATAATATCCTTATATTGGAGGCAATGAAGCCATGGTCAGAATAAGTTGGGTTAGGTTAGGTTGGGTTAATACTGAACCAGCGACTACTTGTCCGGTGATTAAATGCCCCAGAAAGTGTTGAGATAAGTACTGCATACTCACTATCTTTCTGAAGGTCCAATAATGGGTAGGGTTAGGGTAGGTGGTCAAAGCCCAGTCTCGCAGCATGGTCCTGGGCACCATCGCCGTCTGCACCTCCTTCACTATGTCCCGCAGCACTTGGTGAGACGCCTGGGAGCCACGTGCCTGAAAGTTGGTAAAACATTATAACATGCGATGAGTCGTCCACCTGCACCTTAGTAACATCACTTGGGAGGAACAGTGGCAAATATACACAAATTATTTTGGGAGATACTGTAATTGTGTTTAATGTTGGTATGACTTATTTTCTGGGTATAATCAATAAATTACTGCACAATTATAATGACACTGGGGCCAGAAGATAAGAACTTTAGTCTAGTTTTATGATATGTAAATAAATGTTAAATTGTCTGGGTATACAATAATTGGGTATATGTCACTGCCCGAGTGTGACATATACTGTACCTGCTGGACTATGCTGTCTTCACCACAGGTAAATTACTATACCTGAGAGAGAGAGATATATTACCTGCACAGCTGCCAGCCTCTCATAATATCTGGTAACTGGAGTGTCAGGCTCAGGCTGTCTCTTGGCACACCTCAACTTGTATATATCCAACAGGGAAGGGACACATTATCCTCCACCAGTCTCATCTGAGGGGACACAGCCACTACTCTGCTCACACTCAAGTTCACCAGCCGACGACTTGTTTCCTGGGGGACGATAAGAGCAGTTGTAAGGTAAACATGTCATCATTGGTTAGGGTGAGGTGGGGTAGGGTGAGGTGGGGTAGGGTGAGGTGGGGTAGGGTGAGGTGGGGTAGGGTGAGGTGAGGTAGTATATGGTGAGGTGGGGAGGGTACTAGGGTAGGTCATTCCTCTCACACACACACACAAAACTGCTCCCAGGCCTTGAGAGACAGTGTAGCTATCTATAACATGTGTGGCTCTCAATAACATGTGTGGCTCTCAATAACATGTGTGGCTCTCAATAACATGTGTGGCTCTCAATAACATGTGAGGCTACTAATAACATGTGTGGCTACTAATAACATGTGTGGCTCTCAATAACATGTGTGGCTCTCAATAACATGTGTGGCTACTAATAACATGTGTGGCTCTCAATAACATGTGTGGCTACTAATAACATGTGTGGCTACTAATAACATGTGTGGCTACTAATAACATGTGTGGCTCTCAATAACATGTGAGGCTACTAATAAATGTGTGGCTCTCAATAACATGTGTACCTAATAACATGTGTGGCTACTAATAACATGTGTGTACTAATAACATGTGTGGCTACTAATAACATGTGTAGTACTAATAACATGTGTAGTACTAATAACATGTGTGGCTACTAATAACATGTGTAGCTAATATGTGTGGCTCTCAATAACATGTGTGGCTCTCAAAACATGTGTGGCTACTAACATGTGTGGCTACTAATATGTGTGGCTACTAATAACATGTGTGGCTACTAATATATGTGGCTACTAATAACATGTGTAACTTAACATGTGTGGCTACTAATAACATGTGTGGCTACTAATAACATGTGTGCTACTAATAACATGTGGCTCTCAATAACATGTGTGGCTACTATAACATGTGTGGCTACTAATAACATGTGTGGCTCTCAATAACCGTGAGGCTACTAATAACATGTGAGGCTACTAATACCATGTGTATTACTGAATAACATGTGCCCGCCACTAATAACATGTGTGGCTCCTCAATAACATGTGTGGCTACTAATAACATGTGTGGCTACTAATAACATGTGTGGCTCTCAATAACACGTGTGGCTACTAATAACATGTGTGGCTACTAATAACATGTGTGGCTACTAATAACACGTGAGGCTACTAATAACATGTGTGGCTACTAATAACACGTGAGGCTACTAATAACATGTGTGGCTACTAATAACATGTGTGGCTACTAATAACATGTGTGGCTCTCAATAACACGTGTGGCTACTAATAACATGTGTGGCTCTCAATAACATGTGTGGCTACTAATAACATGTGTGGCTACTAATAACATGTGTGGCTACTAATAACATGTGTGCTACTAATAACATATGGCTACTAATAAATACTAATAACATGTGTATTACTAATAACATGTGTGGCTCTCAATACTTGAGGCCAATAATACGTGTGGCTACTAATAAATATGCACACATAATATTGTGTGTATACACAACATGTGTGCTTAATAACACGCGGAGGCTACTAATGTCATGTGGCTACTAATAACACGTGGCTACTAATAACATGCTATGTATTACTAACAACAGATCGTGGCTACTAATAACATGTGTGGCTCTCAATAACACGTGTGGCTACTAATAACATGTGTGGCTACTAATAACATGTGTGGCTACTAATAACATGTGTGGCTCTCAATAACACGTGAGGCTACTAATAACATGTGTGGCTACTAATAACATGTGTGGCTACTAATAACATGTGTGGCTACTAATAACATGTGTGGCTCTCAATAACACGTGAGGCTACTAATAACATGTGTGGCTACTAATAACATGTGTACACACAACATGTGTGGCTCTCAATAACACGTGAGGCTACTAATAACATGTGTGGCTACTAATAACATGTGTGGCTACTAATAACATGTGTGGCCTCAACACGTGAGGCTAACATGTGTGGCTCATCATGTGGCTACTAATAACATGTGTGGAGGCTACTAACAACATGTGTGGCTACTAATAACATGTAACATGTGTGGCTCTCAATAACACGTAAACATGTGTGGCTACTAATAACATGTGTGGCTACTAATAACATGTGTGGCTACTAATAACATGTGTGGCTACTAATAACATGTGTGGCTACTAATAACATGTGTGGCTACTAATAACATGTGAGGCTACTAATAACATGTGTGGCTACTAATAACATGTGTGGCTACTAATAACATGTGAGGCTACTAATAACATGTGTGGCTACTAATAACATGTGTGGCTCTCAATAACACGTGTGGCTACTAATAACACGTGAGGCTACTAATAACATGTGGCTCTCAATATGTGAACGTGATGCTGACACCTACACCACCTCTCAAGACTCAGACCTTTTGTTTGGCGAAGAAGTGGTTCAACATCCTCAGTAGCTGCAGGACTCGTTCTTCCCGCCGAGCGTCACTCAGGGAGTAGTCGTTCACCACCAGGTAGGGATACACTCGGCCGTTGTGACCCCGTATATGGAGACGTCTGGCGGCGGTTCCGTGTTTTTGGACGATGTCGACACGCGGCATGAAGCGTGCAATTCGGATGTAATAGTGGGAATGCTGTAAGGGAAAATAAATTTGTTAACTATTACATAATAGCTTGATTAAAAACAGATAATTTACTACATTGTGCAAAAGTCAAAAGTGGGTGGAGGGAGTTAAGAGGAACGTCGCCTTTCCATACGGTGGAGGACCTTCTCTGTGTGTGAGAAGAGTGATGTTGTGTGGTATTGAAACATGGACAGTTACAGAGGTGTGACTTGAGAGTGCTGTAGTGAGAATGGTGAGGTGGATGTGTAATGTGATACTCAAAGACAGGAAACCCTCTGCAGAGCTGAGAGGGCAGCTGGATATTGGTGAGGCCGAGATGGTTTGGAGAGAGGAACAGGTCAAGAGAAACATGTGTTTAATGTGGAGAATCAGGAGTAGCCCAAGATGAAACCCTGATGAGAATGGCTACAAGAGACCCTGCAGCATGAAGAACTGCCATCAAGTAATCCTGACTAATCCACAAAAATCATGGAAAATGGTCACAAAACCTGATGATGATTGTTGTCTTAGTGCAAAGATGACTATTAACATATGATATCTGAAATGGCAGCTGAACAGTTCAGTACTTTTATTTGACATCTTTCATTTACTGTGTATGTAATGGATCATAAGAGGTGCACATAACAGTGTCTTGAGGAGGGTAACACAACTGACCCATATAAAGAGTGTGTGTGTGTGTGTGTGTGTCATTATCCAGGAGGCTTATGCTGTTGATGGGTGACACTACATTGTGTGAAGTGACTGCAATAAATCCGATAGATATTGAGGCTGCTGCTGTGAAAGGATTGTACTTACCAAAGGAGAATAATTCTACTACAGCAGCAAGCAGAGAATAAGTAACTCTTTCAAACCTTTACCCAATATAATGTGTAGGTGGTAGAGTAAACACACACATACATTATCTCACTCGCTCCGTCCCCATATCTCTATCCCTTGACTCACCCCGGTATAAGAGGGAGAATAATAATAAACAGACCAACAGATAGAGGAATAACTGTTTAAGCATCAGGTCTTATCAGCACTTGGTACATGGGGAGCTCTTGAACCTGAAGTAAGAACAAGTACTGTACTCCACTAATTCAGGGAGCTCACCTAACCTTGCAAGTTTGTAATCATTTGCATAAATAAAAAACAACCAGATGTGAACTACCCATGTTGTATAATAGACCACAACACATATGTAATGATTCCCGGAGTTTTGGCCACGGACAATTAACACCTGGATGAACACTGTGGGCCTTGAGGGGACAACTCCTGGATCCATTACCCAGGTCAGTAGAGCAACACAGTACAGTACCTTTGGTAACAGGAACTCTCCAGGCAGCTCAACCTCCGCAGTTTGAAGACTAAAGTTGCTGAGGTAGCGACACTTCTCTTCTATCAGGAACCACCTGTCACAAAATTTTACTCTTGTTAACATAACCATTTTTAATAAAGTTCTTACAAGACAAAAATGCCTCAAGTCAAAAACTTCACACCAATGATAATTAAAAAAAAAATTTTGAAAAATCAAATCTCATAAACTTGACTAGACAATGAACAATAGTTTCACCAAGTAAAGAATATTCTCAGAAATTGTTTATCAATAGAGAACACCATTCACATACATACATAAGGTACCCTGGCCTTCTCTTCTCCCCTCACTATGTCACACACACACACACACAATAAAGTGATCGAGACGGTACCGACAGAGTCATTCACAGATGTTGCACGTGTGGAGGGCTACATCTAGAGCAGGAGGGTCAGCGGCAGTGTCTTTGCGGCGTTGGCGCTTGTCCATCTTGGATTGCAGTCGGGCTAACTCGAAAGTACCTTGTAATTGACACTTTCTCGTGTGGTGCTCCTCCAAGCGTTACGGTGTGGAGCAATTGTCTCCCAGATGAGGGGGTCGATTTGACACTTTTTCAGGTTTGTCTTGAGACTATCCTTATACCTTTTCAGTTGCCTGCCGGCATTATGTTTACTATTCGTTAGGCGACTGTAAAGTAGCTGCTTTGGCAGTGTACTGTCGTCCATGTGGGTAACATGGCCAGTCCAGCGTAGTTGTTCATGGATAATGGTAGCCTCAATGCTCCTACAGTTGGTGTTAGCGGGAATACTGGCATTTGTTCTCTTGACTTCCCAGCAAACTCGGAGGATGGAACGTAGACTACGTTGGTGAAAGTTTTCAAGTGCTTTGAGGTGCCTCCTGTATGTGACCCATGTCTCGCTGCCATATAGCAGGTTGGGGAAGACCACTGCTCGATATGCAGCTGCAGACATGGGTACGGCGCCTGCAAAAGGTTTGAGATGCACATCTGATCCAATGCTGAATCTCTTCATCGATGTCCGCAGTGGTGGACAGTTCTGAGCCGAGATACCAAAAGTGGGCAACATTAGAGAGGGAAGTACCATTAAGCTGAATGGATGGTGGAGGTGTGGCTGAACCAGGGGCAGGTTGAAAGAGAATCTGAGTCTTCTGTACATTCACCTCAAGGCTGAAGTGTGCATATGCATCTGTGTAGGTGTTCACGATCTCCTGTAGGTCTGGTTTGGTGTGAGCATCAAGGGTAAGGTCGTCTCCATACTGAAGTTCAGTATTGGAATCTGCCGACACCTTTGTTCCTACCTGGATGTCCACCCCGCGGCTAAATTGGCACTGGCATAAGTAAGGAAGGCAGCTAAGAAAATGGAAAAGAGAGTTGGTGCCAGTACACGCCCTTGTTTAACCCCTGCTGAGGAGGAGTAGGTCGTTGGGATTACACTTGGCTAGTCCATTTCTCCCTATGGCTCCCTGCCAAATGTTAGCATCTCTGCCAACTCTGGCAGTGAAGTCACCAAGGAGCAAAACCTTATCTTCTCTGGGGACAGAGGTTAGCACACTGTCAAGGTCGACGTAAAAAGCGCTCACACACACACTAATGGTTGGCCCTCATATTAACGAGGACGACCAACCCAAGGGCCACCTTCACCGCATGGCCGTCAAACCCACTGTAAGGCCAATGATGAAGTGTTACCTACTGACATGGCCAATGATGAAGTGTTACCTACTGACATGGCCAATGATGAAGTGTTACCTACTGACATGGCCAATGATGAAGTGTTACCCACTGACATGGCCAATGATGAAGTGTTACCTACTGACATGGCCAATGATGAAGTGTTACCTACTGACATGGCCAATGATGAAGTGTTACCCACTGACATGGCCAATGATGAAGTGTTACCCACTGACGCCCAATGATGAAGTGTTACCTACTGACATGATGAAGTGTTACCCACTGACGCAGCCAATGATGAAGTGTTACCTACTGAGCATGGCCAATGATGAAGTGTTACCCACTGACATGGCCAATGATGAAGTGTTACCTGACATGGCCAATGATGAAGTGTTACGCTGACATAGCCAATGATGAAGTATTACCTACTGACATGGCCAATGATGAAGTGTTACCTACTGACATAATGATGAAGTGTTACCCACTGACATGGCCAATGATGAAGTGTTACCTACTGACATGGCCAATGATGAAGTGTTACCTACTGACATGGCCAATGATGAAGTGTTACCTACTGACATGGCCAATGATGAAGTGTTACCTACTGACATAATGATGAAGTGTTACCCACTGACATAATGATGAAGTGTTACCAGACCAAGATGGTGCCAACAGATGGTACACTACTCACTCACAGATGGTACACTACTCACTCACAGATGGTACACCACTCACTCACAGATGGTACACTACTCACTCACAGATGGTACACTACTCACTCACAGATGGTACACCACTCACTCACAGATGGTACACCACTCACCACAGATGGTACACTACAGATGGTACACTCACAGATGGTACACCACTCACTCACAGATGGTACACCACTCACTCACAGATGGTACACCACTCACTCACAGATGGTACACTACTCACTCACAGATGGTACACCACTCACTCTCACAGATGGTACACTACTCACTCACAGATGGTACACTACTCACTCACAGATGGTACACTACTCACTCACAGATGGTACACCACTCACTCACAGATGGTACACCACTCACTCACAGATGGTACACCACTCACTCACAGATGGTACACCACTCACTCACAGATGGTACACTACTCACTCACAGATGGTACACCACTCACTCACAGATGGTACACTACTCACTCACAGATGGTACACCACTCACTCACAGATGGTACACTACTCACTCACAGATGGTACACTACTCACTCACAGATGGTACACTACTCACTCACAGATGGTACACTACTCACTCACAGATGGTACACTACTCACTTGGGCAACAGCTTTACTCTTGCTTCCAAAATCTTGATCCATTTCTTGAGTTTGTGTATAAGGTTATGGAGTTTCATGGCTCCCAGCTGGGAGAAGTCAAAGTCTGTGGTGAACTGTCCCTTCATCTTGTGGAACACTGGATCCTGGACGGTGGCCTGGGCACGGCGGGCCAGGGATTCGGAGGCAGCACTCGCATACTGTCCTCCGCCACTCACCGAACTGCTGATGTTTTCTGGAGAGCCAAATGATCAGAGGGCCATCATTAAATGCAACATCGCGTCTACAACGCCGTAAAAGTTTACTTTATCGCGTTAACGCCACTTCAAGATGGCAGCATTCAGTGTTACAGGCGACTCCTTGATATTTACTCAATGGGTAATAGCTGTCAAGTTATGGAGTGTGATTATAAGATTATATGGCTGAATCGAGTGTTACAATAATTTGTTTCACCTAACTTACCAATGCCAATACCAAAGGTTGAGACAAGTTTCTTAACAAAGGAGAGGGTGTGAGGTGTTATGTTCGCTTCTGACACTGCTCCAGAGTTCTCAAAGGCAACAGCATAACACTTGGCCAGAGCTTGTCGGAGCTGCCGCAGCACTACCTCATCCCAGTACTCCCTGAAGCACACCATCTGGTGAAGAGAGTAGCTGCTAATAAATGAGAGAGAGAGAGAGAGAGAGAGAGAGAGAGAGAGAGAGAGAGAGAGAGAGAGAGAGAGAGAGAGAGAGAGAGAGAGAGAGAGAGAGAGAGAGAGAGAGCCTTCCTCTCCCCTGATCACCTCCATGGTTAAAAAACCGATGAGGTGAAGGAATGTCAAGCTTGTAATAGGCCCCTGTCTCATCAACAGAACGTATTATATAAATGGGTCAATACATCTGATATTATATTCAGATTCACCACCCTGTAACTTTCCACTGTCTATGAGTAAGACATGAGAGTGACACGTGAGCGGGCAACTTACCCAAGAGGGCGAGACCCATAGCTCAGCATTTCTGTAAGCACGCACTGCGATGCCCCTAAGCTTCAGTAGCTCACCTCAACTCATATCGAAAGGACGTGACCAAACGTTTATCATACATAAACGCCGTCCCTTTCTCATTCACTCCTAGACAGTGAGACTTACGGTTGATATACACTCAGGAATTATATATACAACCTTTTATAATAAAACAAAGGAACTACCGTTTGGGTTTCGTTACTTAAAACCCAAATATAAATATGTGTGAACGGACTGGTTAATTGGACAAGCAGCCGATTCATATAGGTGGCAAGCGGTGTGTACGGATTCTTCAAACTGGTAGTCGTATCATCCGTCTGTGTTTTGTGAAAAACAAGAAAACACACAGCAGTGACGCGTTACATAATCCGAGTGTTTAAAACTATATCCCGTATTGAGACGATATTTAGTGAGCGCTCCTTATCTCTGTCACATACAAATACGTGCAGAATTCGTAATATACAAATATTACAGCCTGTTGGTACATATCCAGATTGAGCCGGTTGAGATAGACTCCACTCAGCATTCCCTAGACATTACAGTGTTGCAGTGTTGAACAACAGTTTCGTAACCTGGAATTCAATTGGTATTTCACTAGCAGCTGAGCAGTATTGTTGTGTCGTCAGCGCGAATTACGAATTCCGGTGTCATCATACAGATCTCCATATATACGTGGACTGTAAAGATTTGGCACACGGCAGTTTTCGCCAGCGAACGACCAGTGTGATAACCAATCATCTGTTTTCTGATCGCCGGAGGAGGAACTCACCTAAATCAAGTGGACTCGTCTCTCACCAAAGCAGAAGCGTCATCTCGTTGCCAAGGAAACCAGCAGCGGCGCACGCATCCTAGGAAGAGGCAACACCCACCACTCCACCCACCACTCCACTCAGAACTCTTGAAGGATCACATTTTCTATACAGACGTACTACTCTGTATAAATAGGTATTTAAATTACATAGTTCTACACACATGAACACGTTCGAGAGATATCTTCACACCAATAGGTTCGTCGGATAGGATTATTTCAATGATAAAGTGTCGAATGTAAGATTAATGTATTGAAATCCTATAATTTACAGTAGTTTGTAAGTGTCTGTCTTCTTATTGATAGTTTAAAAATTAACTACAATTAATATTCATTTGTCTTGTAAATGAGAGGCAAGTGATCTACTTACTGTTAAGTATTCATTGACCCAAGGGGGCTAATAGATAATTTCTAAGTTTCCCATGTCTAATGTAGATGAAATCGAACGCCTAGCGCAACTATTTGCTGATAACCAACTCATCAATGATCAAGCCCAGACTGACATAGATTTTGAGTATGGAACACAGTTAAATGAGTCGGTAGGAAGTAGTGAGAAAGTTATAGACGAATCATTTGACGACTTAAACCGTCGTACCCTACGGTCTGGTAATCACTATAGTACCTCACCTAAGTATACTAAAGCAGTTACCCCTGTTACAGGTGATAGTGTGTCTGTTGCTAAATCGGTAACAACCTTATTAACCCAGCCTTCTGTTAAGAGTAAGAATACTAATTTGCTTAATACTAACACTAAAATGGCTTCGTCTAACCCTCACACCATTACTAATACCACACCTAAAGCTGATAATGTCATTAATATCATGCAGCGCGGCGATTATGTTCGAAATTTCACGGGACAAGACGATTATAGGGTCGCACATTTTATTCGTGCATGTGAAGATAGCATGCGCAATAGTCACATAACGACTGACGAAGAAAAGAAAGCATATGTACGTTCCCATATAACGCAGGGTTCCTATGCAGGCAGTCGTTTAAATGCGTTTGGTTTACAAAGCCCTGACTATGAAAAGTTCAAGCGAACGCTAATTGGGATTTTTGGGGGTAGGTCACAGCTGGGCCAACTGCAATGGATCTTCAGATGGTTGGATCGCTGTATTCCAGGTATACGAAACGAAACACCCGTTGACGCTGTTGACATCGCGGGCGAGGTTCGCCAGGACATGCAAGCGACCTTCCGGTCATCAGGCTGGTACAACTCATGGGGTGATATGCCGCCAGAAAATGTGGAAATATTGATAGAACTAATAAGTTTTCTTCTTTCCGTCCGTGTTCCCTTATATAGCCGGGCACAGGAAGTACAGTATGAACCACCCTTGGATATGGTGGAATACGCAAACAAGCTCTGTCCCCAGGCTACGGGCCCCTTACTGGCGCAACCCTCAGTGACGTCACCACAACCCCAGCAGTCTCAGATGCCACAGATGCCTCACTCCCAGACTCCTTATGCGACACACTTAGCTCCGATCGCTCCTCCCCGCCTAACATATAAACAGAAAACATCGTTACGATGCGCACATTGTAATAAACGTGGCCACGTAATGGAAGATTGTTTTCAGCTCCGAGGTAATAGTGCAAATAAAGCCACACCCGGTGCAAAGCCATTCTCAAGGTCAAACAGAGAGGGAGCTAAAGCAGCACCTCCTCCTCCTACCCAGACAGCGCGCAAATGGTGCGCTCTTCACAAATCGACATCTCATAGTTCACATGAGTGCGATATACTAATAAAAGCTAGGGGAGTGGACCTAAGTGAAACGGAGGTGTCGTATAGGCGCAAGCAGAAACGTCCCCAGGACAAGTCATCGGGGGAAGACCAGCGCACACTACAGCAAGGAGAGGGATAGATAGGGTAATTCCCGCCCCTCCTCACAGCACTTCTATAGCGGCCTCATTAATAGCGGCGCTTAGAAAAGTGGAAGTGTTGTCAGTGCCGGTGAGAGTGGATAATACCAGATTGGCTCTTGATATAGACACAGGTGCTTGCGCTAATGTATTGGCCTTGACATCATATCACGAGTTACAACGTAAATTCCCTCACCGCAAATTCAAATGGAGGCCTAGTAACGCTGAGCTCGAAGGAGTTTCAGGTACTCAGCTGAGCATCAAAGGAATGGTGACGTTACCACTCAGATTCTCAAGACGTGGTACGCCCTTCTACGCGGACTTTTATATAGTTCAGCAGTTCAATTTGCCAGCTGACGGGTTACTTGGTCTACCAACTCTTCGAAAGAACATGATAGATGTTCATCCACGTAATAATAGTGTTACGTTTAAAGGTGTTTCCTACACAGCAATGAGTCATTCTGAACCTATGCTCACCGCTAGGACGAAGGTGTTGTCTACCAATCCTATTAAGAGGAAGGCGGATCATGCGTCAGAGATATCTCTCGACCTCAACCACACACCTTCCCAGCGTGATTACAGCAGCAAGAGTTGGAAGATAGTACCTGCAATGTTGAAGAGTACTCTCCATTACCAGAATGAGGAATTCACCAACGCAAAAATCCTGTGAGCTAAAGTGAACATTAGTTTCTGCAAATGATTCGTTCACTGCCCAGGGTGTGACAGGACGTGACTGCAGTTGTTGTGACTGCTCATCAATCAACATCCTGTCAACAAAATTCTTTCGTATGGCGTGAACAACCCCCAGTTACCAGCACCCAGCACCCACCCTAGTGATGATGACACATCCGGTCTGAGAGATGGTCTCAGCATTCTGAGGTATGGTGTTGTGGATGACGTTGTGTAACAATTAGCGGCGGTTTGCTGTACTCAGGATTTTTGTGAGCATTGACCCAATCACCGGACCTTGGAATCAGCTGTGTCTACTGTGGGACACACACACACAAGTCTACGGGATTGCGGGAGCAATTTCACATTATCAAGAAATTAAAGAAAGGATGTTATGTGTGTGATTTTATAGATATCACAGCAATGTCGAAGTGCAACCAAATAAATTCCTAATTCGAGGTATTGTTGCGAATTGCCAACAGACTCGACTGGCCAGGATAGATCAAATAGCACCACATGTCAAGGTGATCGATCATCCTCAGGGCAAGACACGCCTGTTAGAGCTGCTTGCCGACTACAGATAGTAGCCTTGCCAGGGGAAACGCTAGGTCAGACAGATTTAACATCCCATCATATAGCGTTAAAGGAAGGAACCAACCCTATTTACATACCAGCTTATAGACTACCTCATAGCCAGCGCGCTGTAGTGCAAGATATGGTACAGGGTATGTTAGATGAGAATGTCATTAGACACTCAAAATCCCCCTTTAATAGCCCATTATTCCTCGTCCCGAAAAAGGATGGTGGATGGCGCCCTGTCATAGATTTCAGGCGCGTCAATGATCAAACAATCCCTGATAGGTACCCTATGCCTATCTTGAGCGACATATTGCAATCCTTAGGCAAGGATAATGCGGTATTTAGCAACTTAGATTTGCTTAGTGGGTATTGGCAAATACCACTCGATGAAAAATCACGAGAAATCACGGCATTTAGCACGCCTCTAGGCCACTTTGAGTTTCTACGAATGCCATTTGGTCTCAGAAATGCCCCACTAACATTTCAAAGAATGATCAACACCCTGTTTGCCGGACTAATTGGTAACACAGTCTGCGCTTATTTGGATGATCTAATAGTAGTCAGTAAGGACGCCGATTCCCATCTGATAAAACTGCGTGAAGTTTTGGCCAAACTTTCCACAGCAGGACTCAAAATAAAACTCTCAAAGTGCGAGTTTTTAAAATCCAGAATCCATTTCCTTGGTCATGTAGTTGACGGTGAGGGCATACACACAGTTAATGATAAAGTCAAAGCTGTATCTCAGTTCCCGCGTCCTACCTCAAATGATCATGTGCGTAGCCTTCTCGGATTATCTGGTTATAATCGTTCCTTTATCAAGGACTATGCAACATTAGCATCGCCCCGAACGAGGTTGCTCAAAAAAAAGATGCAGTGTTTATATAGGATGCTGAACACGAGGAAAGTATTACGGCATTGAAGACAGCGCTAACCAATGCCCCGGTTCTAGCATTCCCAGACTACACTCAACCTTTCACTCTCTGTACTGACGCTCCCGGAATTGGAGTCGGAGCAGTGCTCATGCAAGAGGACACGCGTGGGAAGTTTAGAGTGATAGCATTTGCAAGTCGCAAACTAATCGATGCTGAAACACGTTATTCGGCGACGCATTTAGAAACGTTAGCCGTTGTGTGGGCACTTAAGAAGTTCAAGGACATTATCTTTGGCTACAAGATAACTGTTTTTACTGATCATGCGGCAGTCACCGAACTGTTCCATGGCAGAAACTTATCAGGCAGATTAGCACGCTGGTATCTGACAATTCAAGAGTTTGACCCCGAATTTAGGTATTTACCTGGGAGGGCGAATGTTGTCGCCGACGCTCTGTCAAGAAATATAGCACCAGTAATGCCTGTATCAACATTCACTCTTTCGCAGCTGGAAGATGAGCAACGACGCGACCCATATTGGTCAGCTGTTATTTTTGCTCTCGAATCGGGCGAGGATGTTAAACTCCCCAAGTTATTTCTTCCCTTAAGTCAGTCTGAATTACGACATAACATACTCAATAGGACGAGAAAATCTCCTGAGGGTAATGTGTCTCAAATAGTCGTACCTGACACGTTGCGCAAAGCAGTAATGACATTGTTCCACGATGTCCCACAAGCAGGTCACCAAGGTCGTGATAAATGCTTAGCGGATTTACGAAGAAGTATTTCTGGAACACTATGAAGAAAGACATAGAATTACACATAGCTAATTGTTTGGCATGTGCTCAACATAAAAGATCAACAGGATCACCTGCCCCGATTCTACAATATCCTACACCAGACCGTCCGTTTGACACAGTCGCTGTTGATGTGTTACAACTCCCAATGAGTCATCAGGGATCAGGATACGTCTTAGTGTGTGTGGATCATTTTTCCAGGTTCGTGGTCTTGGTCCCACTAAAAAGCAAAACGGCCGAAGCAGTAGCCTATGCATTAGTGATGAATCTCATATGTCCATATACTACGCCTAAAGTTCTACTCTCTGATAATGGAACAGAGTTCAAGAATGAGCTAATAGAGCATATATGTTTACAATATGGAATTAAACAAACTTTTGTGACAGCTTATCATCCACAGGCCAATGGCCTTGTTGAAAGAACCAATCGTAAAATCCTAGAAATACTGCGTCCAATCGTTAATGGTTTTCAATACGCATGGGAGGATTGGTTACCGCAGGTTGCAGCGTCGATTAATGGGTCAGTTAATAGCTCTACGGGCAAAACACCCTACTATATTGTCTATGGCACAGATAAACGTCTGCCTTACGACATCCTTACAGAGGCGCCATACCCGGTATATAATACGGATGATTTTGCGGCAAAACAAATTCATGTCTTTACAGAAATTCATAACCAAGTACGATCACAGCCTGCGGCGTCACGCGCCGAAATGATCATCAAACAGCATAAACATGCTAAACCTATCGCACTGAACGTTGGGGACGCTGTTATGTTACAGGTACCTGAAAGGAACTCCAAACTTTCGGCGAAATTTTCTGGTCCATTCCGCATAATCTCAAAAGAAGCAGGCAACAAATTCAAAATATGGAAGCCTAATGCACAGATCGCAGATGTCGTGCACGCGGATCGTCTGAAGAAGACCCAGATAAATGTCTTACCTCAAGTTGATGATAATGTGATTGATACATCCTTACAGACTGTTCAGAAGCAAAATGTCCCAAATGACTATTGTATGAAACTACGTTCTGCGAGTAGAAGTTAACTCGTACTTTCGCGTCAGATGGAAAACGTCGACGGCCAACTACAATCAGCATTGGACATTCTTCATGGTCTCAGCACAGCTTCGATGAATTCGACAATAGTTTCATGAACGTTGTCGTTCAAGCTGTATCTCAACAGAATCGTGTTATTTCTCAAACCTTTCACGCGATTACTGCTCTAGAATCAAAGGTTAATGCAATCATAATGGAGTCTAACCAAGTTTCGAGGATTGTTACTAGGTTACAGAAAGCAATCCCGACGTTAGAATGGCTCCTTTACTTCACAGAATATTTGCATGCTGCTGAAATTTCAGTTCATAAAATTGTAACCTCTAAAAATGAACTAATAGACAGCATTGTAGATGCCGGGATAGGACGTGTGGACGCGAAGCTTGTGCCTGTGCAGACGCTTCTTGAAGCTTTAAAAATAGCCAAGTTGCAGTATCATTTAACTCCTATTTTCAATGACAATGAGGTTCAATATCATTACCCACTGTTGGAGTCAACCCTCACGCACAATGCAATTCTGATCCACATTCCTATGCGAGGGCAACATGAGTTTAATGCATGGCATTTAGAACCCTTCTCCTGGTTTGTGAACGACACACTGTATACCCTAGATAGGCCTAAAGAACTTTTCTTAGTAGATGAAGAATATTCATTGTTATCAATAGAGGATTCTGAGGTACTGTCACGGTGTAAGTCGTCTTATCTACACCTACACGTATGTCCAGCCTACATTGTTTGCATTTATTCCTGCTGCAGATGGAATATGTGAATTGGCAGTCATACAACCAAATGTACGCACAGCGTTAGCGCAATGCAGTTATAGGCCAGTTAGTCTAAAGACTGTGTTCCATGCTCACCTTCACAATGTGCAGTATTTGTTCTTTCCAAATCTCACTACTGTAATTTTAAAATGCCAAAATGGTGTTAAGCAGCTAGTTGTGAAAGGGCATTACAAGGCTCCTGATTACTGTGAAATCACTTGTAGTACATTACGGACCTTGCCTACTCATCAACATTTTGCGTTAAATCGAAAACTCAAGTCTGCTTTAATTCCACTTCCTATAATGAATTTCACTATCAAGGATATTCAAATAGTATCAGAGAAATTAAAAGTGTTAGCTTTCTTGAATGAGACACATTTTGCTGATTTGAATAATAACTTGCCATTTTACCTGTCACGGGAATTTGCACTACCAAGTCTTACGATTCCCTCTATTCTGTTAATTCTGGCAATAATGTTCCTGTTCTGTTATTACTGGGCAGTATCATCCAAATTCAACATTGTTCATAACATACTAACCCGTACGACACAAAGTCTAGGTCCCCTGTAGTAGAGAATACCCCTTCAGTAATTTCCCCAGCTTAGTGTCTACATATCTGTTTATAACATGGTTAGGGTTGTCTAGGATGTACTGTACTCTGTGAGTTATTTAGGCCTCACGGAGCTCGGCTGGTAGGTGACCGAGCGATGTAATAGGCCCCTGTCTCATCAACAGAACGTATTATATAAATGGGTCAATACATCAGATATTATATTCAGATTCACCACCCTGTAACTTTCCACTGTCTATGAGTAAGACATGAGATTGACACGTGAGCGGGCAACTTACCCAAGAGGGCGAGACCCATAGCTCAGCATTTCTGTAAGCACGCACTGCGATGCCCCTAAGCTTCAGTAGCTCACCTCAACTCATATCGAAAGGACGTGACCAAACGTTTATCATACATAAAACGCCGTCCCTTTCTCATTCACTCCTAGACAGTGAGACTTACGGTTGATATACACTCAGGAATTATATTTACAACCTTTTATAATAAAACAAAGGAACTACCATTAGTTTCACATTTAAACCTAATATAAATGTGTGTGTGAACGGACTGGTTAATTGGACAGCCATTCAGTTTAAACACCAGTCACCATCCATTAATTATATAACACACCATACAGTCACTATCCACACTATATAACACACCATACAGTCACCATCTACACTATATAACACCATACAGTCACCATCCACACTATATAACACACCATACAGTCACCATCCACACTCATATAACACACCATACAGTCACCATCTACACTATATAACACACCATACAGTCACCATCCACACTATATAACACACCATACAGTCACCATCTACACTATATAACACACCATAGTCACCATCCACACTATATAACACACCATACAGTCACCATCCACACTATATAACACACCATACAGTCACCATCCACACTATATAACACACCATACAGTCACCATCTACACTATATAACACACCATAGTCACCATCTACACTATATAACACACCATATAGTCACCATCTACACTATATGACACACCATAGTCACCATCTACACTACTCTCGCCCTGCCAGTCACCATCCACACTATATAACACACCCTTAGTCACCATCTACTATATAACACACCATACAGTCACCATCCACACTATATAACACACCGCCACAGTCACCATCTACACTATATAATAACACCATACAGTCACCACACACACACACACACACACCTGGTCAACAATACCCTCCAGAGATGCCAACACAGTAGGGTGCAGTTCCTTCTGCATGTGCATGATGCGTGAGCACCGCCACATAGGCTCTGTAGCCTTGATCGAACCAGCAGTTTCAGTTCCCTGCTGCTGGCCGCTCTGCTGTGACTGCTGCTGCTGTGATGTCTGTTGTGTTTGTGACTGCTGTTGACTCTGCTGTTGAGCTTTTTGTGATGCTACAGCAGCTGGATCTACTGTCAAAACAAACACAAACATGTAATTCTCAGATCCCATCTAATAGTTGACAATTTTAAATCAAAATATTCAATTAATCTATCAATTATTATATTAAAGACAAACTACAGTACACAGAAATTAAGGTTATAAGTGAAACAACTTCATCTACAGCCCCACAGTATAAGTCTACCTTACAGTCATTACCCCCACAAGATAACCTCATCAACTAAGTCATCCAGAACTTTTAGTAATTAATATATAAACACAAAGCCTTGTATCACTGTATCTCCCTCCCATCAACTGGCCACCTACCACTCTTTATCCTGCCTCACTGTTCACACATCAACTGGCCACCTACCACTCTTTATCCTGCCTCACTGTTCACACATCAACTGGCCACCTACCACTCTTTATCCTGCCTCACTGTTCACACATCAACTGGCCACCTACCACTCTTTATCCTGCCTCACTGTTCACACATCAACTGGCCACCTACCACTCTTTATCCTGCCTCACTGTTCACACATCAACTGGCCACCTACCACTCTTTATCCTGCCTCACTGTTCACACATCAACTGGCCACCTACCACTCTTTATCCTGCCCCGCTGTTCACACATCAACTGGCCACCTACCTCTTTATCCTGCCTCACTGTTCACACAACTGGCCACCTACACTCTTTATCCTGCCTCACTGTTCACACACCAACTAGCCCCTCCACTCTTAATCCTGCCTCACTGTTCACATCCTTTAGCCCTACCCTCTTTATCCCCTCACTGTTCCACATCAACTGGCCCTACCTCTTCCTGCCTCACTGTTCACATCAACTTCACCTACACTCTTTATCCTGCCTCCTGTTCACATCAACAGCCACTTACCTCTTTATCCTGCCTCACTGTTCACATCATCAGCCACCTACCTCTTTATCCTGCCTCACTGTTCACACACCAACTGGCCTACCACTCTTTATCCTGCCTCACTGTTCACACATCAACTGCCTACCTCTTTATCCTGCCTCACTGTTTCACATCAACTGGCCACCTACCACTCTTTATCCTGCCTCCTGTCACATCAACTGCCACCTACCACTCTTTATCCTGCCACACATCACAGCCACCTACTCTTTATCCTGCCTCCTGTTCACATCAACTGGCCTCTCCTCTTTATCCTGCTCCTGTTCACATCCTGGCCTACCTCTTTATCCTGCCCTGTTCACACTCAACTGCCTACCTCTTTTCCTGCTCACTGTTCACATCAACTGGCCCCTACCTCTTTATCCTGCCTCTCTGTCAGCCACCACCTACCTCTTTATCCTGCCTAGTTGTTCACATCAACTGCCTACCTCTTTATCCTGCCTCACTGTTCACACATCAACTCCACCTACCCCTCTTTATCCTGCCTCACTGTTCACATCAACTGGCCACCTACCTCTTTATCCTGCCTCACTGTTCACACATCAACTGCCACCTACCACTCTTTATCCTGCCTCACTGTTCAAACATCAACTGGCCTACCTCTTTATCCTGCCTCACTGTTCCACATCAACTGTACCTACCACTCTTTTTCCTGCCTCACTTTCACACATCAATGGCACCTACCACTCTTTATCCTGCCTCACTTGTTCACATCAACACACTCTCTTTATCCTGCCTCTGTTCACACATCAACTACCTACCACTCTTTATCCTGCCTCTGTTCACATCAACTGTCTCTACCCTCTTTATCCTGCCTCACTGTTCACACATCAACTGTCACCTACCACTCTTTATCCTGCCTCACTGTTCACACATCAACTGGCCACCTACCACTCTTTATCCTGCCCCGCTGTTCAATCTTGAGAGTCAGGTACAGTGTTCTAATGGGAAAATACACAGCCTGGGGGAACATACGTCCTACTTGGTTCAGCAAATTGATGATTACCTGCAATGTGATAAAAAGGTTATTATCTGGGTAACTTCATACAACAGTCTCCTCCTCCACATACTCCAGCAGCTAGTTTATTGTGCACCCCACACTCATCCTGTGAGTGGTAGTGCAAGTACAGTACAGACTAAAAAGAATTACAGAGTAGAGTTCACAAAGGGTCAGTATAACTTTCTTTTCTTTTCTTTAAAGGGAATTAGCCCACCCGGGCACAGTTCAAATGACCCACTGCGGGGCCAAGGGGGTGAAAAAATAAAAACAGAAAGAAATTGAAACTAGAGAAGAAAAAGGTTATTACAGTATGTGTTAATCTACACCACAAAGATGCCGGAAAACCAGCTTTTTAAAGTGAGACAGATTGTATAAGTATGGAAACACAGAATAAGGCAGAGCGTTCCACAGTTTTGCTGTGTGAGGAAAGAAGGATGTACTATAACAGGTTATTCTAATGTGACCGACATCCAGAGAATCGGTGGGCACGCGTGCTGCAGCGTGTCTGGCCTTGCGGCGGTACAGATGCAAATCCACAGAACATTGCCCGTTAAGTCGTGTAAAGAGTGCTGATGGAGAAAGATTGTCAGGATATTATGGCATTGAATGTTACAATATTTCAATAAATATTTTAGTTCTATCATAAGGTAACTTATTCACAACTGGTGAGCACAGTACAGGGGTGTGAGGCAGCATGTCTGGCTTCACATTTTGCTATTCACATTTCGTGAGAAGTATTCAAGCACATTGTGTGTTTGGTTCTTGCAGAACTGATATGTAGCTACAGTGCAAAAGTGGATACAATCTTAATATGTCGGCTATCTTGCCATTAGAGATGAAGTGTTGTGCCATTTCACACACAGTGTGTGGACCTGTCTAAAGGTTCTATCTTCACAGTCAGTGCGTAGTGTTTCAAGTGTGGCCATATGTGGCCCACTTTATTAGTTTGTTTACATCTGCTTGAGGAACATACTGCCAAAATGCTTATATCCTAACCTTAGTCTAGCAGTTACAACATCTTGCAATCTAGTGATCTTGTTACTTGCTCCATATACATTTCTTGATACATCTCATCATGGTAAACTATGGATCGACTAGTGCCTGTTTGCCTTGTCTGCTGACTTCAAACTCATCAATAAGTTCCTTCTAATAACAGTTTAAGGTTCTTTTTGACCAGACCCAATAGTATTCAACAGTGTCTTTGTTAGGCCTTGAGTTTGGCGAGCATCAACTCTGTCATGTTTTATAGGGCCTATGTGAGAGGGATCTAACAGTTTCATCACAACCTCCGGTCAACAAGTGTGGTCTACTGTGTGTGTGTGATCTATGTGTGAGGTGTGATCTACTTGTGTGTGTGATCTACTGTGTGTGATCTGTGTGTGTGTGATCTACTGTGTGTGTGGAGTCTCTGTGTGTGTGTGTGATCTACTTGTGTGTGTGTGATCTACTGTGTGTGTGTGATCTGCTGTGTGTGTGTGATCTACTGTGTGTGTGTGTCAGTCTACTGTGTGTGTGTGATCTACTGTGTGTGTGATCTACTGTGTGTGTGTGATCTACTGTGTGTGTGTGATCTACTGTGTGTGTGTGATCTGCTGTGTGGGTGATCCTGTGTGTGTGTGATCTACTGTGTGTGTGATCTCTGTGTGTGTGATCTGTGTGTGTGTGATCTATGTGGGTGTGATCTACTGTGTGTGTGTGATCTGTGTGTGTGTGATCTACTGTGTGTGTGTGATCTACTGTGTGTGTGTGTGATCTGTGTGTCTGATCTACTGTGTGTGTGTGATCTACTGTGTGTGTGTGTGATCTCTACTGTGTGTGTGATCTGCTGTGTGTGTGTGTGTGATCTACTGTGTGTGTGTGTGATCTACTGTGTGTGTGTGTGATCTCTGTGTGTGTGTGTGTGATCTACTGTGTGTGTGTGTGATCTACTGTGTGTGTGTGATCTACTGTGTGTGTGTGTGATCTACTGTGTGTGTGTGATCTTGTGTGTGTGTGTGTGATCTGTGTGTGTGTGATCTACGTGTGTGTGTGATCTACTGTGTGTGTGATCTACTGTGTGTGTGTGTGATCTCTGTGTGTGTGTGATCTGTGTGTGATCTACTGTGTGTGTGATCTGTGTGTGTGTGATCTACTGTGTGTGTGATCTGTGTGTGTGTGTGTGATCTCTACTGTGTGTGTGATCTGTGTGTGTGTGTGATCTACTGTGTGTGTGTGTGATCTGTGTGTGGTGTGATCTACTGTGTGTGTGTGTGATCTACTGTGTGTGTGTGATCTGTGTGTGTCTGCTATGTGTGATCTACTGTGTGTGTGTGTGTGATCTACTGTGTGTGTTGTGATCTACTGTGTGTGTGTAGTCTGTGTGTGTGTAGTCTACTGTGTGTGTGTGATCTACTGTGTGTGTGTGTTGATCTACTGTGTGTGTGTGATCTACTGTGTGTGTGTGTGATCTGTGTGTGGTGTGATCTACTGTGTGTGTGTGATCTACTGTGTGTGTGTGATCTACTGTGTGTGTGTGATCTACTGTGTGTGTGTGATCTGCTGTGTGTGTGTGTGTGATCTACTGTGTGTGTGTGATTCTGTGTGTGATCTACTGTGTGTGTGTGATCTACTGTGTGTGTGTGATCTGCTGTGTGTGTGTGTGATCTACTGTGTGTGTGATCTACTGTGTGATCTACTGTGTGTGTGTGATCTACTGTGTGTGTGTGTGATCTCTGTGTGTGTGTGTGATCTACTGTGTGTGTGTGTGATCTGTGTGTGTGTGATCTACTGTGTGTGTGTGATCTACTGTGTGTGTGATCTACTGTGTGTGTGTGATCTACTGTGTGTGTGTGATCTACTGTGTGTGTGTGTGATCTACTGTGTGTGTGTGATCTGTGTGTGTGTGATCTCTGTGTGTGTGTGATCTACTGTGTGTGTGATCTCTGTGTGTGATCTGCTGTGTGTGTGATCTACTGTGTGTGTGTCACTGTGTGTGTGTGATCTACTGTGTGTGTGTGATCTGTGTGTGTGTGTGATCTACTGTGTGTGTGTGTGATCTGCTGTGTGTGGTGTGATCTGTGTGTGTGTGATCTACTGTGTGTGTGTGATCTCTGTGTGTGTGTGATCTACTGTGTGTGTGTGTGATCTGTGTGTGTGTGTGTGTGATCTACTGTGTGTGTGTGATCTACTGTGTGTGTGTGATCTACTGTGTGTGATCTACTGTGTGTGTGATCTACTGTGTGTGTGTGATCTACTGTGTGTGTGATCTACTGTGTGTGTGTGATCTACTGTGTGTGTGTGATCTTGTGTGTGATCTACTGTGTGTGTGTGATCTGTGTGTGTGATCTACTGTGTGTGTGATCTACTGTGTGTGTGTGATCTCTGTGTGTGTGTGATCTACTTGTGTGTGTGATCTACTGTGTGTGTGTGATCTTCTGTGTGTGTGTGATCTACTGTGTGTGTGTGATCTACTGTGTGTGTGATCTGTGTGTGTGTGTGAGTCTGTGTGGGTGTGATCTACTGTGTGTGTGTGATCTACTGTGTGTGTGTGTGTGATCTACTGTGTGTGTGTGTCTACTGTGTGTGTGTCTGTGTGTGTGTGATCTCTGTGTGTGTGTGTGATCTACTGTGTGTGTGATCTCTGTGTGTGTGTGTGATCTGCTGTGTGGTGTGATCTACTGTGTGTGTGATCTGTGTGTGTGTGATCTACTGTGTGTGTGTGATCTCTACTGTGTGTGTGTGTCTCTGTGTGTGTGTGTGTGATCTGTGTGGTGTGATCTCTGTGTGTGTGTGATCTACTGTGTGTGTGATCTACTGTGTGTGTGTGTGATCTCTGTGTGTGTGATCTGTGTGTGTGTGTGATCTACTGTGTGTGTGTGTGATCTGCACTGTGTGAGTCTGCTGTGGTGTGTGATCTACTGTGTGTGTGTGTGTGATCTGCTGTGTGTGTGTGTCTATGTGTGTGTGTGATCTACATATGGTGTGTGATCTGCTGTGTGTGTGTGTGATCTACTGTGTGTGTGTGTGATCTACTGTGTGTGTGATCTACTGTGTGGGTGTGATCTACTGTGTGGGTGTGTGATCTGCTGTGTGTGTGTTTGATCTGTGTGTGTGATCTACTGTGTGTGTGTGATCTACTGTGTGTGTGTGATCTGTGTGTGTGTGATCTACTGTGTGTGTGTGATCTACTGTGTGTGTGTGATCTACTGTGTGGGTGTGATCTACTGTGTGTGTGTGTGTGATCTGCTGTGTGTGTGTGTGTGATCTGTGTGTGTGTGTGTGATCTGCTGTGTGTGTGTGATCTCTGTGTGTGTGTGATCTGTGTGTGTATGTGATCTACTGTGTGAGTGTGAGTCTGCTGTGTGTGTGTGATCTACTGTGTGTGTGTGATCTGTGTGTGTGATCTACTGTGTGTGTGTGTGATCTACTGTGTGTGTGTGATCTGTGTGTGTGTGATCTACTGTGTGAGGTGTGATCTACTGTGTGTGTGTGATCTACTGTGTGTGTGTAGTCTACTGTGTGTGTGTAGTCTACTGTGTGTGTGTGTGATCTGCTGTGTGGGGGTGTGATCTACTGTGTGTGTGATCTACTGTGTGTGTGTTCTACTGTGTGTGTGTGATCTACTGTGTGTGTGTGATCTGCTGTGTGTGTGTGTGATCTCTGCTGTGTGGGTGTGTCTATGTGTGTGTGTGATCTACGTGTGTGTTGTGTGTGATCTACTGTGTGGGTGTGATCTACTGTGTGTGTGTGTGATCTGCTGTGTGTGTGTGTGATCTACTGTGTGTGTGATCTGCTGTGTGTGTGTGTGTGATCCTACTGTGTGTGTGTGTGTGATCTTGCTGTGTGTGTGATCTACTGTTTTGTTGTGTGTTTGATCTACTGTGTGGGGTGTGTGATCTGCTGTGTGTGTGTGTGTGATCTGTGTGTGTGATCTACTGTGTGTGTGTGATCTGTGTGTGTGTGATCTGCTGGCGGTGTGTGATCTGTGTGTGTGTGATTCTACTGTGTGTGTGTCCTGTGTGTGTGT